AGACTACTGTGGCCGTTGACAATGTACGAGGACTTGCTCAATCATGCCAATTGACTAGAGAGGCTAGTGAGCTCCTACATTAAGAAGTGGCTCGGACTTCCCAAATTCCTCAGCAGCGTTGGACTCTACAGCAACTGGATATTGTCATTGCCTATCCCTAGCCTGGTAGAAGAGTTTAAGTGTGGCTTGAGATGTTACTCATGGACTGCCAGGACTCCATAGTGAGAGGTGCTGCTCCCATCCTAGCAACGGGGAGGAAGTGGACCCCAGTCAATGCTGTGCTACAGGCCAAATCTACTCTTCACCATCGTGATGTGGTGGATCATGTCCAAGAGGGCAGAGGAGGATTTGTTCTTAGAGCAGTAACACCTCTGTGGCAACAGGCATCTGTAACCGAAAGCCAAAAAATGGTGGTGGAGGTGTGTCGACAGGAGGAAACAGTAAGACATGCCAGAGCCATAGCGCTGGCCAAGCTGGGTCACTGAATGAATTGGGAGCGTGTTGAAAAGAGGAAACCCACATGGAGTGAAATCTGGGGAATGGCGTCTAATAGACTAAGTTTCATAATCCGAGCGACATAAGATGTGCTGCCTTCCCCAATAAATCTGCAGCTGTGGTTTGGAAAGGACCCATCTTGTGTACAGTCCTAGCAACACTCAAGCACGTATTGGTTGGTTATAGGACTAGCCTTACTCAAGGCAGATAAACATAGAGACACATTAAGGTCCTCAGGTGTCTAGTCGAGAAAGTTGAGTGCAAGAGAAAATCCATCAACACTCAACCTTTCACGAACCAAGAGGAGCGTCAGTTTTCATCAGCATTTGTCCGGGAAGGGAAAATCCGAGGACTAGCCCTTCAACCCCCGACCTGGGCCCGCTGAAGGTTGCCAGGGACTGGCAGATGCAAGTGGACTTGGATCAGAGACTAATTTTTCCCACAGAGATCATAACAACTACTCTGCGACCAGACGTCTTCCTTTGGTCTAACTCCCAAAATCTTGTGTACGTAATTGAGCTGACGGTACCATGGGGGGGTGCAATTGAGGAAGCGTTTGAGCGTTAGAAGCTGCGGTATGCCAACTTGGCAGCTGAGGCAGAGGACTGTCATGTTCCTGTTGACCCAGCGATTTAAGTTTTAGTTTATTTTGATGTTTATGTTTAAGTTCATTAGGTTAGCTAAGTTCATTTGTTTATTAGATTCGTCTTGCATTTTCTACCCCTGTATCTAAGTTTCCCTCACCATTTATGTTTCATGCTGCATGTTGTATGTTGTCAAGTTGGTGTTGGAGGGTGGAGGGGCTTTGTTGCCAGTACAATAGCAAAACTGCTTAGAGAGATTGGAATCAGAGGACAGGGGCAACGGCAGGCTATAAGTGAATTAGCTAACACTGCTGAGTGACCAGTCACTGGCTGTGGCTAAATGGGGCTGACATCACTTGGGCAGCTAAGGCAGTCAGCCACCATGGGCTGACCGCGAGACAGACGCCCAGGACTGATAAACCCGTGGTGGGGCTGTCTCAGTAGAGTGCGTCAAAAGGTTAGAAAACCTAACACTACAAATTTTGCTGGTTGACTGATAAAGCTGTTTCAGAACCTCCTGGGGGGCGTGCAGTTAACCTCATGGTAGTAAAACCTAAAGGAGGAATGAAAGAGAAAAAAAAGGAAAAATTTTCCACTCTTCTCCTCTATGCTCTTCTTCCCTTTTCTGGGAGGCAGTGGGGAGATAGAGCGTACAGCCCGATCCGGCGGGGAGGTGTGGGATGCCAGATCATGTGCCCCCCCTTCCAACTCTCCTCTCTGCTCTCTCCTATCTATTTGGTCTCTTTTGTCTTAGTTCTCTCTATCACCTTTTCTATCCCTTTGAAGACATGAGGCTCCATAAATATTAAGGAGGAAAGTATTACTTCTCAGTTGCAGTAAATTGATAGAAGGGAAAAAAATGTAGAAAACTACACAGAAGAAAGTAGAAGAGAAATAACAATTTAACATAAACCAGTGACACACTCCAGGGCCTGATCAACCCTGTAACCTGGCAGGGCCTCCTTTAATGAGGGTGTCTCGTGATAATGGCCAAAATACCTGATAAATCCAAGGTCCACTACTGACGATGTGTCCCAAATTTTAATATGATAATCTAGATCTAATCCCTAAACCTAACCAAGGAAGGTAAAAAAAATGGCAGATTAGCTTGGGTAAAAGACCGAAACACCGTGTGAAGTTGAGGCACACAACAATGTGTCCTGCTGGTAAAATTTCTGGGCTGCCTTTCCTCATAACAATCTATGTTCTAAGCTATTATAGTTGCATAGCCATTAAGAATCAAATCAGCTCATATAAATTTGCTATTTTTTCTTGTTCTGCTTCCTTTTTACTTTCCTTGAGGCTCTGGACCACCCCTCCCCACACTACATAAACTCTTGCAAGTCTAGAAAGGTCAGTGTTGGACAAAAAGATGTCAACTCAGTGGGAAATCTTTTGGTTTTCCAATATATTAGTAATTTTCATTGTCATTTAAACTAATCATGCTGAACTTTAATCATACTTTAGACTCCTTTCGATGTGAAGGAGCAGCGGCTCTACTCTGAGCCCCCCCTTATGGGCAAACTTCTCATCCTATCTCTAAGGGAGAGGCCAGCCACCCTTCGGAGGAAGCCCATTTCCACCGCTTGTATCTGCAATCTCGCTCTTTCGGTCACTACCCACAGCTCATGACCATAGGTGAGGGTAGGGATGTCGATCGACCGGTAAATTGAGACGTTCGCTTTTACACTCAGCTCTCTCTTCACCAAAACATACTGCTACAGTGTCCGCATCACTGCGGCCACAGCACAAATCTGTCTGTCGATCTCCCGCTCCCTTCTCCCATCACTTGTGGACAAGACCCCGAGATACTTAAACTCCTCCACCTGGGGCAGGAACTTGTCCCTGACCCAGAGTGGGCACTCCACCCTTTTCCGGCTGAGGACCATGGCCTCAGATTTGGAGGTGCTGATTGTCATTCCCACCGCTTCACACTCAGCTGCGAACCGTTCCAAGGCGAGCTGGAGGCCCTCATCCGATGAAGCCAGCAGAACTACAGGTGTGAGTTGAAGATCTCGTGGACCGAGGCCTCTGCTAGGTGTTCCCAGCACACCCTCACTTTACGTTTAGCCATGCGAGGTCTGTCCAGCGTCCTCCACCACCACCTGATCCAACTCACCACCAGGTGGTGATGAGCACCAGCTCAGCCCCTCTCTGCTGTATTAATTTCTGAATCTCTTTATTAGCAGCTACACACCAGTGTGATTTCATACAACTTATTTTTCATTATTATTTTTCATTTTAATGCTACCTAGTGGAGTAATTGTTAAGGTCCTGATATAAAATTTGTTGTCTAAGCCCGACAAGGTACTGTAAAGGTACTGTAAATTTAACTGTAAAAATGAAAAATTTGAAAACTGTAAATATCAATCATTTTGGTTTATATTTAACCCTATCTAAAGCTCGGTGATATTATATTAAAGCAGTTAAAATAACATAGGGAGGAGGTAAGGGCTAAATAGACAGTATTACTAAACACAGATGATTATATTTAAAAAAATATTTCAGGGGTTACATGGATAAGAGGATGGAGAACATTTTTTTTTACAATATTCACTAATACACAGTTTACAAGCTAAATATGCAACTTAAATTTGTGATATAACATCGCATATGGACAGTATTTCCTATCCAGTTCTTTCATGTCTCCCTGACTTTTGTTAACAACACAAACAAAACACCCCCACTCTCTTTCTGAAACTGATTGTTATCTGTTTTAGATAAGCATGTAAATTAAAGTTTTATGATACTAAATTGCTAATCATGTGAGGTAAAATTCATATTAGGACAAGAAGGAGAAAATCTTTGGACCTATATCAATTATTTATACCAGATTCAGGTCAACATTAATTGATGTTGGTCAGAGTCAGTCCAAATTAACTGACCATCCATTGCAACCTGGACAAGACATGGGTTGGACACAACCTGGCTTTAATGACTGTTGTTGCATTTTGGGAATAAGAATATATGCTCTAGTTTACATAATTTTCAATGAGACCACAAGAGTTTTATCAGTTTCATTTTTCTACTAATCTACTAATCTCTACTTGTTTCTTAGTTTAATGTAGCTCAGGAGTTAGAGCAGGTCACCTATTCACTGGAAGGCTGGTGTTTGATCCCTGGCTGCTCCCACCTGCATGCTTCATATCTTTGGGTAACATACCAAGCCCACATTATTCTGCAATGCATCCACTGGCATATGAATGTGTTAACCTTAGCTAGAAAGCACTTAAGAAAAAGTGCTTGTATGAATGGATGAATGAGGCATGTTGTATAAAGTGCTTTGAGTGCTCAGGTAGAGTAGAGAAGAACCATATAAGAACCAGGCCATTTACTATTTAGGTTTATGTTAAGATTATTAGGTATTATTTCAAACCATCTGTCCTCTAAGATGAGTGAAAGAAGCCATCTTTGTCCACTGTGAACGACCATCTTTGGACAGAGGCGGTGGTTTACGACACCAACTGTCTGCCATCTATAATCCAGTTTTGAGTTCCCTCCCCAGACGCCTTAACGCCCACTCACATCCTGGGCCATCTGACCTCAGGAATTCGCATGATAAGGTGGGGCCAGGTTTCA